ATGAGTTCAGCCTGTGGGTAAACAGAGATACTACTAAGTTTTATTGTACACCATATATTGGTACATGATGTAGCTGGGTATCACTTATTGGACTGGCACATTGTCGTAGTAGATACACAAATGCTTCTTGTTGAAATATGACATGCTTCGAGATCTGTGCAACACATTCATTGCTATGAGACCAAGGGCTCTCCTTGAAACTGGACTGTTTTATGCATTTTGGAAAGTCATCCATAATCTAGCGTGACAGTATTGATATATTTTTTTAAAATTTCAGTGCCTCCCTTTCATAAGCCAAGCAATTTAGCAGGGAAGTAGAGACCTTGGTCTCTCCCTCTCAGAGAATGGCTGCACTGACTGGCGACAAGTCTCTGGGGTTCCAACAAGAGTTGTCCAAGCTTTGCCCGGAGATCATAGGTACTAAAAATGGGGCTGTCTGTGCTCAAAGCATGTCTTCTACCCCTGAGCTACAGCCCACCGTGTAGCCAAGAGTCCCTTTATTCTTTTACTTTAGAATAAATGAAAGAGCATGAGAGTTGTGCATGAGAGATCAAATCTGGAAGTAGAAGAGATAGTTATCTGTAGTGTGACTACGCTTTGGCTGTGTAGTACATTTGGCTGCAATTTGATTCTCAGCCTGTATTACAGCTCAACTCATAGTGATCACACAGGGGCTGCAGATTGATTGGGGAGTTCAGTATTCACATTCAATGCAATATGGTTTGCATTTCAGTCTACGGCCCTCCTTTCTTTTGTTCTTTCCTTCCTCTGGTCCTGCCTCTGCCAATCCTTTTATGGTTTGCTGTCAAACTGCTTGGTTTCGAAAGGACTGTGCAGTGTTCCAGAAAAGGTGTCATTACGTAAAAGGGAGATTGAAAATAAAACAGCCAATGTTATAATGCCATTGTACATTGTGCAAAACAATGTACAATGTTTTGTACAATGGCATTGTACATTGTACAATGGCATCGTACATTGGAATATTGCATACAGTGCTGGTTGCTGGACCTCAAAAAAGACATAGTGGAACTGGAAAAGGTGCAGAAGAGAGTGACTAATATGCTTACTGGGCTGGGATTCCTCCATTACGGTGTCTGGGGCTCTTTAGTCTAGAGAAAAGGCACCTGAGGGAGGACATGATTGAGACATATAAAATTATGCGGAGAATGAATAAAGTGGATCGAGAGAAGCTCTTTTCCCTCTCATGCAATACCAGAACCAGGGGACATCCACTCAAACTGAGTGTTGGGAAAGTGAGAACAGACAAAAAATATATTTATTTGTCTAGCGTATTGTTAGCATGTGGAACTCCTTGCCACAAAACAGACAAAAAATATATTTATTTGCCTAGCATATTGTTAGCATGTGGAACTCCTTGCCACAGGATGTGGTGATGGCATCTGGCCTAGATGGCTTTAAAAGGGGATTGGACAGATTCCTGGTGGAAAAGTCCTTCATAGGTTACAAGTAGAGATGGGGGTATTCGTATACAAATATTATTACCCCTATCTCTAGTTACAAGCCATGATGGGGATGTATAATCTCCAGGCTTAATAGGAAGGTACTTCAAAATACCAGATGCAGCGGAGTGGTATCAGGAGACAGGGATCAAGTTGTCTCATATGTCCTCCCAGAAGCATCTGGTGGGGCCACTGTGAGATACAGGAAGCTGGACTAGATGGGCCCTTGGCAGCATCCCAAAGTTCTTCTTAATGTGTACAGAAATATCCCATACTGTTCTGTGCTTCAGAATTTCATGCCCCAACTGCCTACATCACTAAAGCACTGTCCACAGACACCACCACCACCCCCATCTTTTCAAGAGCAAATCAACTGATTGCATGGGGAAAAGTTTGTTTGAATTGTTCTGGCTTGAGAAAAGTAGAAGTCCCCAGTGGTGGAGGAAAAAAAGCATGTTGGAAGCAAAAAGGTCTGGACCAATTCAAATCAGCCTTTGTATTTTGTGATCGGAAAGAGGAAAAAAACGTTGTGGCATTTGACTGAATAGTTACAGCCTGTAATCACACTCAAGCATTAATACTATTCCCAGTACATTGAGTTACATAAGAGTAGGCCCATTGAATCAGTGTGGATGAGATCAATCACCTCCTCCTTCATTCTATTGATTTAAATGAGCCTATTCTAGCGCCACTTACTACTCGGAGCAACAGGATTTCCACCAGTATATGGCTGTACTAGGTAGCTTCATATATAGAATGCAAAGTTTCAAAAAGTTTCTTTTGATAACTACAACTCCCGGTGGCCATTCTGCCTGGGGGATAGTGGGAGCTCAAGTTGAACAGTGCTCCTGTTTACCTAGATCCATCAAACACTGTTTTGTTGCTTTCATTTCTCTCTCTCTCTCTTGCTTTTTAAAAATCAGATGTTCGTAAGTGTTAATTTTTTTTTTTTTTTGGCTAAAACTCCTAAAGCAGCCCTTTAGTATTCTCCCAGTGTTTTTGCTCTCCAGAGTTGATAAAAGAGCTGTATGCAGATGGTTTTGCTGAGGGCAAAGGAATGTTTCATCATTATGGAGCATGACCCTTCAAAACCGGAGATTTCCCCTGATATACTATTACCATGGCCAATCCAGTGGGTCAAGCCTCCCGAGAAAGGAGAGCATTGTTTAATGAAGTTCCATAACAGAAAGTAACACTATTAATTGTATCTACTGAGATAGCAGAAATAGTCCTTAAAGATATTTCTCTTTGATATGGCAGAGATTTTTTTTCCTCTTCGTCTTCATGTTTTAAATCCAAGTCAGACATAGGGGAAAATCCAATTACTGTGAAATATTCTATCTTGCATGCTCTTTCTCTGTGGTCCTTTTCTTTTTATGTTGGTTTGGATGAAAGCTTGCTAGTGAAGTTTTGAGAGTTGTTTTATATACAAAGGAAGGCAAGGTGAATAATATTTTGTGTACACAAATGGTGTCCCCCCCCTTCTCTCCAGTTATATCGCTTCTGCTTCTAAATGATACATCTTCTCTTTGGCTCAAAAGAAAACTTCTATATTTATTTAGGATTTATTTAGGGAAAACATTTAAATTGTCCAAATCCTAGATAATAATTTAGCACCCAATGTTGTAGATGAAGCTGATTTAGTTACTTCTCTCTTGATTATTTTTTTAAAAAAATCATAGAAGGATTTTCAGAAGGTAATAGATTTCTCATGAGCATGCTTTGCTTTAAGGATCCTCATGCTATCAGACAAGCTACTTCACCTCGTTTAGGGAAAATTTCAGAAAAAAACTTTGACATAGTAGAATAAGGTGTTTTCAAAGGTGGTGGTGGGACTCCAGGAGGAAACTATTGTATATACATGGCAGAAAACTGAACATTGCAATTAATGTTAGATTCCAATTACATTGAAATTGAAATTGTTCAATTGAAATTATCATGTTCTTAGCTTATGTATGCCCCGGATTTTGTCCTCTTTATTCAGCAACTGGCATTTTGGGTCTCAGTGCTACTTTAAAATTAACCTCAAAACTGTTTCAAAATGGCAACACCAATGGGGCAGCATAGAAATGGATACAATAAGTAAATAATAAGTAGATTTTTATTAAGAAACATTCCACTGTAGAATTTTACTATATTGGTGATAGTATCAGTTTTTCAATGGAAATATATGTGACTAGGGGATCAACTGAACTCACCAAAATACTATGTATTCAAACAGAAATGCTGTGGTAACTTAAAAAGTAACCTAACCAGGCCAAAGTATGCCTGAATCCTGTTACATAGCATAAGCAGAATTGTATGTTCCAGTCTGCAGTATTTCTTGCCATTACATAAAGAGCTCCCACCACAATTCTCAGGGGAAAATGCACACACCGGTTTGTGGCGGAGATTTTTTTTACTAGTGAGGAATGGATTGAAATGTACCTATGACTTTGTGCACATTATGAAAAGGATTTCTTCCACTATGTTACAAATCAGCAGTTGAAAAATGTTAGTGTTCCAGAGATGTGATTCAGGCAGACCTAAGCATTAGGGATGTGCCGTTTGTGAGTTTTTGTTTTGTTTTGTGTTTTCTTTTTTTGTTCTGGAAGTTCCGCTGACGGACCCACATCTAAATTGTGCTCACCCGGAGAAAAGACTGGATTCATGGCTTAAAATAGGTCAAGCTTCTGCCTAGCAAGATGAAAAATGTTAGTGTTCCAGAGTTGTGATTCAGGCAGACCTAAGCATTAGGGATGTGCCGTTTGTGAGTTTTTGTTTTGTTTTGTGTTTTCTTTTTTTGTTCTGGAAGTTCCGCTGACGGACCCACATCTAAATTGTGCTCACCCGGAGAAAAGACTGGATTCATGGCTTAAAATAGGTCAAGCTTCTGCCTAGCTACTTGTTAGGAAAGGAAGTTACTTCAAGCCATGAAACCTTCTAGCGTGCCTATTCTTTAGGTGAGCACAGTTTAGGTTTGGGTCTGGTGAGTGGATCTCCCAGAAGAGAATTCTGGGATATGAAGTCCAAACAACAACAAAGAACAAAAGCAAATGGTACATGCCTGCTGAGTATTTCTGTTTGCAAAATAATCTTGTGTTTTGCAAAATAATCCTGTGTTTACCTCCTAATGACTAACGGTAAAACAAATCAAGTTTTGCTTTGTGAAAACAGTGTTTACCTCCTAATGACTAAAACAAATCAAGTTTTGCTTTGTGAAAAGCTGCTGGTGTGAAACCAGATTTTCTCAACACTTGAGGAGTTTTCTCTTCTACTGGCTGATTGTCTTCAATGTGTAGTTTGGCCTCCAGTCTTGCTGCAGGATACCAGAAAGTTTTTTCAGCAATGGACATCATTGTTTTCTTATTCATGTTCATTTCACTATAAGCTTGATTAGAATAGGGTTCAAAGAACTATCCATTTTGGATACTCAGAATTAATCGTAGTCATATTGCATGTTTAACAATGCATTCTTTACACAGGAACAGATTTGCGCTATTATCAGTCTGAGTTCAACAAATCTCAGTTTAACCTTGTCTTGTATTTTTGTGCTTACAGGTAACTCGGTAGCAAAAGTCACATCAAATCAAATGAAGGAGTGGCAATATTAAATACAGATAAGAAGGAAATTTTGATACGTAACAATGATAACTAAACTTAGGCTTGGAATGGCTGGAATAGACTAGTTCTTTCAGTGAGAACATGCACTGTAATCAACAGCGGCGCGAGATCAAAACTGTTGGAAAGCTGGACTCATACGTCTTTCTGTCATAAAGATTTCAATGGAATGAACTGTGTACATTTGTAGAAACAGCAAAAACTGCTTATGGCTAAAGAAGTAGAGAGGTGATGCTAAAGGGACACCAAAGAAATCACAGTATTTTGGATCCTTGGCTTGAGACTTGAGATATATCACCTCTGTAACAGAAGCTTTTGAAATATTCTGACTAATTTTCTTCAAAACCTTTCTGGTCCTCCATTCAAATTACTGGCGGGACGATGCACTGCTTTAATCAAATGATTGTTCCAGAAATTGTCCTCTGATACAGCACAGTTTTAGATACTTTTTATTTGTATACTGATCCTGAACCACCAAGGCTACATATTTCAGCATAGTAAAGTTGCTTTTCTTACAGGAATGGGAATATATATCCATTATTAATCATTATTGTTGACAAGTACTAGTTATTTGATTACATCATTCATATACAAATGTATTGTTAGTCAGACCTGTTTCCCTAAGGCTTACCAGCTACTTTGACTCCGTGGTCAAAACTGAATTTTCCTCTTGCCCCCTCCACCTTTTTTTATGCCATGAAGATATCTGTTTTGCATAATTTCAGGAAGATGGCTGTTCTGTGTAAACATTTTGATTTATTAAACATTAGGTCTTAAAAAGATTGTGGTAAATAATAAATGACAGTAGTTAGTCCCTTTATGAAGGTAGACAGGGATGCATGTTAATTTTTCAGTTCTGGGATTTAATGATATTCATTCTGATGTATCTTTTAATTTAAAAAAAAATAAGTATCACTTGCTTGGATGATATTACTGTCTGGATGCTTAAGTAGATGTCTGCTCAACTCTGTTTATTAATAGGAAGAAAAGCAACACTTTTTCTCCAAATCTGGTATTCATTGATGCTTTTTTGTGGTTCCTCCAGGTACTTCAGATTCATTTCATAGATCTTTGTTGAACCTAAACTTTTTCTGTCTTCTTTTTTCAATATCTATTTCTTAATTGGTGATTAGTTGTTTCATGGGAAGTCTTTAAATGTTTAAATGCCTTAAGCAGCTGTAAACATTTTTCCTAAGTTATTACAGAATGTATAATTTTATATGCCGTTTGATATATGCCATGGTACCTGAAAACACAAAGACATGGAGAGCAGACTGTTTCCTCTGCATTTCACATTCATGCTGCAAAAATAAGTTGGCCTTAGAGAAGGCAAACACCAAAATTTATACTCATTTGGTTTATAAGCTGATATGAAGACTATACACACTCAATCCTAATAAGAATACCTGTGTCCAGAACCAGTTGCTTCAAATGGTTACTAATATTTGTAAAAGAAAAAAAAGGAATTCTTTCATTATTGTTACAGATCACTGACTTGGCTAATTAGAAATAAATTGGGTTCTATGATGAATGAACAGCCTGGGGTACTCTGGTCTGTAACTTTATGCAAGATTTTTCCACATTAACGACATTATCTCTCTTGTAATGTGGCACTGGATATAAGAAAACTAACAACTGTGGAGGGGGGATATTAATGTACAGTGTATCATTCTGGTACACAGTAACCCAAACTTTTGCAGGAAAGATATTCCTTTTCATAAAACTGTAATCAGGAGAAATGGGTTGTACCATCTTTTAGCTGTCTTGGTATTTCGGAAGGATGAGTACTGTATAGGTTTCATGTTAAAAGATGTGTGTAATGGGGGGGACATACAATTTGGAAAGTATGATTAATTTATTTGCTTGGGATAGTAAAAAGTAAAAATGTGTAATTACGTAGCTGTTATAAGTTTCACCACAATTTAGTCAAAATCAAAAAAAAAGCTCGGTATTTATTTCTTTTGCATTTATTCTTAAAAAGAACACTGAAAATATTGTATTATATACAAGTGTAAGACATGCATATCAATAGGTGAAAATAAATGGATTTTCAGATATATCAAATTGAGTATCTGCAGTATGTTAATGTTGTGATAAGTGAAAACCAATGAATACATTTTAATATAAAAATATCCCCCTCAGTATGCATAGCTAATTTTATGAACTATTTAATAAAAGATAAAGAAGACTTAAAAATTTTGACTTCACCTAGGAATTCTAATTCCCTTCTTTGCCCCATTCTTTTGGTGCCTCCCTGAACAGTGGGAGTGCCAGCAGCATTGGGGAAGCAGAGGACAGATTGCGCTGGGGAGAGGGCAACCACTCTGGACAGCACTGGTAGCAGATTGGAGCAGCAGATAGCCTGTGGTGGGTGGGAACTGTGCCAAGAGCATGGGGCACAGCATACTTGAGTGAGAAAGCACAATCTTGGAGCAGCAGTTGGAAGAATAAAAGAGGCAGAAAGCATGGCTAGCAGATTGGAGCAGGATATATCTACTATTGTCAGCAGATTGTGCAATTCTCTCTTACTTAAAGGGACTTCAGGGCAGCCCAACAATGGTAGGTTGACTTTAAGGGAATTCCCCCCCCTACAGATTCAGGTGTGGACTGACAATGTCCTCTGCCTGAAAGAACATTCTCTCTCTGAGCACATTGTTTGGTGGGTAAGATAGCAGTCCCATTGTCGTCTTGGCCAGCCATCCCCTAAGAGACTCCTTCTTAGTCCAATAAGACAAGGGATTGGTCTCTTTTGGCTTTCATGGCTCCTACATATCCTTCTTCCGGGGCTGTGTCCCTGGAGGGCACCTCCCTGCTATGCTTGTCAAGACAGTATCCCAGAAAATTTGTCCTCTTGTTGCAAGGTTGAGGGACTTGGACTTCAGAATATAACTGCTGATACTGTTGTTTGGAATACTATGGTCATTGCTATTTTCTTCTTGCTGTGTGACCCTTCAGTGCTAGCCAGACAGACCTTCTTTGCTATGGGTTGAAAATGTTGTCAACAAGGACCAGAGCCTTTCTTTAACAACCCCAATGCCTTCATAATAATATGCTAGAAGAACAATTGAAAATGTTTACCCAGCCTCCTGGCATGGGAATAAGGCATTTGTTCTCAAAGAGATTTAGCCAATGGATGGCTATTGCAAGTCTGGGCAATGCTATATAAATTATCAATTTGTTTTAATGGTTTACTATATGCTTAAAATTGGTTGCTGGTGTGTAATTATGATTTGATTTTTTTCAGGTCATGGTATATTGATTAATACTTGCTAAGCAGATAAACAAATAAATAAAAGGATTGAAAGAAATTTGAGAGTTAACCATCTTATGCAGGTTGTCCCAATGTAGATTCTACCCCAGGCTTATGTAGAACCTTTTTAGATATCCTTCATCTGTTTTTTTCACAGCACATGTTGCTTAGCATAGTAAATTGCACTAGGGTAGACCCATAGAATCAATGGGGATTTGGTGAGTCAAATCTTCCCATTGATTCAAATGGACTTACTTTAACTGTGACTTAACTGTGCTAAAAGAGAGAAAGGCGTTTCAGTGCTTCCAAGGATTCATGTGTCTCTTATGTCTGAGGAAGTATGCATGCCCATGAAAGCTCACATTATAGCAGTTGGTCTTGAAGGTGCCACAACGTCTTTGTCTTCTTTGTCTTTTTTTGTTGTTTTTACCTGATGTGCAAAGAGTCATAGTTTTCCTGCCTATTAGGCTCTAGAGAAGGTGCTTTCTGAAAAACTATGACTGCCAGGAAGCATTGTGGCAGCTTCCTTTTTCTTACACAAACAACAGGAAGCAAGGCTAGAGAACCTTGAATGTAGGCCCTTCTCCAGATGAGCAAAATAAAGGAGTCTGTGGGCTGAAACTCCCAGAATTTTGCCTGGTGTGTTCTTGGTAGATGGAATTTTAAAAAACCGAAAACAATCAAACAACAAACACCCATCTGCTGTCATCACATCTTCCTATTGACTGCTTGTTTTAATGTTCAGAATCATAGCACTTACGAGCAGCAAGCCAAGATTGTAGCAAATGGGTCATGCTGTGGATTTTTCAGTGCAAATGTCATCTTAATCTTGTTGTCTTTGCTGTTTGTTTTCTTGCTGTTAAATCAACTCCACTGAGAAGATGACATCGTTGATGAAATTAAATAGTTCTTAATTTCAATGCCTCTTAATTTTGATGCCGCTAAATTAGACAAAGAACATTAGTTAATCACTGCTTGTCAGCCCTCACTATTTAATTCTAGTCCTAGAGATCACTTATATTTATTCTTCTGCGCCACTGGAAAATGTTCGCAGTGACAGGTTTTTAACCAGTTATAGTTGATCTTCCAGATCTGTCTGCTCCCATTGCAACAATCTGTCACTGTAAGTACTGCAGCAAAAAATTCAGGCCAGACTCCCTGGTGTGTACGACTTATGTAGTTATCATGAGATGTTACATGTAAAAGCCTAAACCTCCAGCCACATCAATCAGAGATCCAGAGAATAATAACATTTTTAATATGAGGAAGGCAATTAAGTCTCAAGACAAATATTTCTAGTGACAGAGCAAATAATATTCTTGTTGCTAGGAAGTAATGGTCAAATTATTAATTTAATGACATTTAGAATCATAGAATAATTGAGTTGGAAGGACCTATAAGGCCATTGCAAATTTAGCCCAAATTCAAGTCTTTGCTCATGAGGTATCAAACTGGATAGCTGTGGTGTAGATAATTATTTTTCATCTGTCATAGCATTTTTGTGAACATATTAATTGAATGGAAATATTTATGCCACCCTAAACTGTTTAGAAAAAGGTATCAAAATGCCATATATAATATTTATTATGATAGAGAGAGGCTCCCTGACCCATCTGAAATGAAGGCAAATCGTGATTCAGAAATACATGACTCTTCCAAAAGGAACACTGACTTATCCAGGATCTTGAATCTTGTTCTTCTTGGGGCTTTACTTCCGTTCCTAAAAGGGGGTCATGGCAGGTGTGTGGTCTGTCCTCAGAAGCCATCCATCTGTTTAACTAACTAAAGAGATGCCCCACTGTGAAACATTGTCTCAAAAGACTAATATTGACCTTCTGATGGTGATGGACATGCAGCCAGGGAATATTTTTCCTCCATAAGCTTTGCTGAAAATTTATATGGAAAAAGAGAATTCATCCATTTTATGAACCATAATTAACTGTTGTTATTTCTCAGACACAGTCCCTTGGTATGTTTCACATGAAGAGCTCATTAGATTCCTAGTGGGAGAGCATATGGGAAAACAGGAAAATATACAAGGATGTATATTTACAGTTACGTTATGAAATAACTCTGTTCATGCCAGCATAGATAAAATTAAGGGCATATTTGCAAAACAGCATTTTAAAGAAAGCTGGGCTGTCTGTCTTCTGTGTAATGCTAAATATGGTCCCAGTTCTACACATTCCCATATGTGTTTCATTTTAAATTTCTGCAGTGTTCAAAATGAAGTACATGGCTAAACTAATGGTATAACCTTGCCTGCATAAAATAAAAATGTTATAAATTGGTTCATGTACAGTATAATATTTTTCTAGAATATATAAGGTATTTTTAAAATATTCACTGGTTGGATTGGGCTTATATTTAATATTTGTTCACTGCCATTTGTCATCATTATCTGCATTTGTATTTTTTTTATATAAATATTGCATCCTGGTTATAAAAATGTAGACTAAAATCCTGTTAAGCGAAACTGTATGAGTAAGGAGAATCATACAGTGCTTTTTCTTTTCCAGAGAATTCCCTTTGAGCGACTCATTGTGCCTATGATTTTGCAATCAGTACATGGACCAGTTATGGTGATCATGTACTGGTTGCAAAGTGGAATGTTTGTATGGGTACCATCATATTACTATGTTGCATGTAAGGATTCTGATCATAGTTTAAAATTTGTCTTTGGAAACATACGCATAGATCGGGGACAATTCAGGTCTGGAAATTCCTGTGTCCTCGGGATGAATCTGGTATTAAATGAAATCAAAGTGTTATCAAGTCTATATCCAGCAAAAAGCTATTTTAAAGAAAACGTATGTGACAAACCTTATTTTTCTGTGTATTTTCAGAGGCTGAAGGCCATTGTGAGTTTTCTGCCTCTCAGATTTTCTCTGTCTAATTTCACAAGCAGAAACTATTTGGATTCCTTCATTTTCACATCCCTGCTACTATTGCTTCCACCCAGATGCTTTCAATATGGTGCTGCAAGAGAGCCCTGTGCAACTAACATGCTTTCTATCAGACCCCTTGCCCTTCCTTTTCTATCAGCTGCACAGCCCCTCATTTGAGCACCAACGTTCATACCTACTAGCTTTGCGTATAAGAAAGATGCACATTTAAGGCTAACCTTGGCCCACCTACCTTCAGTCACAGTCATCATCAGCATTTTTTTCCATGGCCCAGAAATTGGAAAACTTCATTTCCCAGAATACAACTCCCAGAACCTATGAGCCTGTGACAGCTGGAATCTGCTTGGAGTGGCAGTCCAGTGCAAGAACCACTGCAACCTGTGATATTCTTGTTGTCCCACAACAAATTAAAACAATGCCATATAGAGTTAGAGGATTACAGAGGCAGCAGCTCAAGGTTTGAAGGTCTTTGCTGATGAAGCAAGGCCTGAATCAACCTGGTCTGGGAGGATACCTTGAGAAAAACATACATGACATGCTGTGGTTATTTTTTGCATTTGTTAACATAGTGACTTTTTGCACAGAAAAGAGGTCCTATCCAATCATATTATCCCACTGGGGCAATTGCAGGATCCAGGAGAACTGGAGGGCTGGTAATCTCCAGCCCTTCTTTTCCCATCCAACCTGACTCTGGAGGGATGGGAAACCCTCTAAAGAGCCTGTTTGTATATGGCATAGATGCCTGAAGGAGGGGAGGGGAAGAGATTTCTGCTGCCACCACCATTTGAATGTTGGATTTAGTTCACCCCTTTCTTTCGCATTGCCTCCAGCTGGCAGAATATGTCCACAAATAATCTTCGGTGACGTTGTCCCTCGTCTTCACCCCAGTA